GACGTGCTTAGCTGAGTCGATGGCTTTAATGGGTAACTACAAGCGTGTGACTAATTCTGTCACACGCAAAAGTCAGGTGAGTGTCACAATAATAGTTTCAGGCCACCTGCAAGACAACCAGGTATTTTTCAATTATATCAGTATATTTACCAGTTTATTTGTCAATATATAAAAAATTGCATATTTAACAGAGAATTAATCTCCTTTATGGAAGAAAAGATTAAGTAGATGGAGATCTTAAACAGAGGTTGTAAGCAAAAACTTATAAACCTAGTAGAAGGCTGAAGAGAGCTAGAAATTTCTTATCAAAATCGACAGATGTTACATTTGGTTAACTAGATGACCCAGAACATTTGACAAGGGTAAAGCCAGGGGTTTAAGTCAAAATGTCCTTTAAAGGGTGCTAAAGAGTAAGGGAGTATAATATTCCACTATTTATTACATATTCAGGACTATGTCAGCAGTTCAGAGAAGGAAGTGAAGAACACAGCCAATGTTGCTGAAGGACCGAGACACAGTTTTATGAAATACCAGTCCAAACTGTACATAAAAGGATGCTGGCTAGGGATGTATGTGTTTAAGGGGCAGAGGTTTCACAGCCAAGGCTAAATCTGAGCCAGCCCCAAGTAGAACGTCTTAGGCAAAACTTAAGGGGTCTGAGCAAAGGTCAAAGGTGGGGGAGAACATGTTCTGCCCAGCAGTCAATGAGGAGACCAGATGGCAGCTCATGTAGACAAAGTGTTTGGGCTAGGGCGCTGGGGAGGGACGTAAATGCTATCCAGACACATTTTCAAGTCATTCAATGTGTATGAACACAATTAGTATGTTTTAGTATTTAATATTAAACATGACTTGAAGAGTACATTTTTCATAAGAAATTATTTTAGAACTAGAGGAGACAGTGCCAGAAGAATGGGATAATTATAGAAGCAATGCTAGACTCAAGAGATTCCCCTGCTTTGGCGCTTTTGAGGATCTGTGAGGTCAAAACTATCTTCACAATATTATTAAATTGTTACTTGCCTATTTCACTGTGTTGATACTTGTACTGTGTATAGGCAACAGTGAATAAAACTGCCAGCATCAAGACAGTGCAGTTAGAATACACTAGTAGTATTGTATTTTTTTTTTTTTTTGAGATTTATCTTCATTTTATGTGCATGTGTGCTATACCGGTATCTATGTCTGTGAACCACAGGGTATGCCTGATTCTCAAGGAGGCAAGAAGAGGGCATCAGATTCCCTGGAGCTGGAGTTACAGGTGGTTGCTAAGTGCCATGTGGGGGCTGGGATTCAAGCATGGGTCCTCTGGATTAGCAGCCAGTACTTTTAACTGCTGAACTCTCTCTCCAGCTCCAATTATTATATTGTTTTAAAGGTGTAATTGGTGTACACCAAACAGCATGTATTTAAAGCATTTGATTAATGAACTTGATCTACTTGCATTCTTGAGACTCCGTCAAGATAATCATCAAGATGACAAACATTCTGACCACGCCCAAAACTTCCCCAGTGTCCCCTCATGATTCACGTCTCGCCACAAACCACACTCTCTGAGAACCACTGACCTGCTTTGTCACTATAAATTAGTTCCTAAGTTCTAGGATTTTACGGAAGTTAAACTACATGAAACATTTCTTTTGCATGCTAATATCAATTAAAGACAAACACAGTAAAAGGTCACTAATATGAAAAAAAACCTGACCGATATAAAATGAGGAAAAGAGCAAACAGTGTCCCTCTCCATACAACAGATAAAACAAATGTACAGAAATCAATAAGGATGTGACACTTGAACCCCAGTCTGACTTAAAGGAGACGGACAAGGTACTCTACCCAACAAAATAGTGCATAACAGCCAAGTTTGCGTGGAACATTCATCAACCATACTTTGGGCTATGAAACAAAGTTACATACATTTAAAAGGACAGAAATAATGCCAAATATGGTTTCTGACCACAATGGAACCAAATCAAGAACAAAAAGATGGTTAGAAAAACCACCAACTATTATAAACCAAATGTTATAAAATAAGCAACAAATCAAAGGATACGTCACAAGATAAGTTAGCAAATATTCTGGATTGAATGAAAGTGATACTGGAAACGGTACTTTAGATAGATGACTTTGGAAGCTGAGGATCAAAAATTTCTCCTATAAAAATGATGTGGTGGCCACAAATGTGACTTCAAAAAATGAAAATGCATCAAGCACACTGTAGCATACCAACAATGTGGAAGAGCTACATAATTCAGTAACCCAACATTTCCAAATAGCCAATGACCGACATTACATGAGCTCCATTGTGTACGTTGGGCAGGGGATTTTATTATAGGAACACAAAGAGTTCTTTCATTGTCTATACTGCAACTAATGAACTTTTAAGAAAATAGCCCACCAGGCAGTAGTGGTGCATGCTTTTAATCCCAGAACTTTGGAGACAAGAGGCAGGTGGTTATCTGTGAGTTCTGGGCCAGCCTGGTCTACAGAATGAGCTCCAGAACAGCCAGGACTGCTACACAGAGAAACCCTGTCTTGAAAAAACAAAAACACAAAACAAAGAAAATAGCCCTTACCAAGTTTGGTGTGACATTCTAAAGAATTCCACAACTGTCTGAAAAGATTGTTACATACTTCCCTTTTCTCAACTGCATGTGCTGAGACAAGATTTTCTTCATCTCTTAACAGACCAACAAACTGCAAGAGCTATGCTTGCAGATAGGAGAATCCAACTGTGTCCTGGAACCAGGCAGTAAGATGACTTGCAGAAAATGTAAAGCAACCCATTCTTCTAATCATATTACATTTCAAAGTATATTCTCTTAGAATATCATTTTGTTAACATATAATGGGCTTATTATGTTATCTATTTTTTTGTTTTACTTTTTGGTTTCTTGAGATAGGGTCATATGGAATCCAGACAGGATGGAGCTGAAGCTATACTTGATCTCCTGGTTAAATACTTACAGATTTTCTCATGCCAATATACAAAGGCTTGGAACAATAACAAGCATGATTTAGTAACCAAGCTAATTGCATTTCTAAAAGCAAAACCTTAGGTACCTATGATATACAAAGAGTTGGTACCCAGAAAACTGTCAGATGAGAATGTTACAATATTAACAGTCTTGACTGTTCATAAGAGAACTCACTACTACAACATGAACTGACACGAACTCATTGGGCTAAAATTACCAGATTTTAAAAGGGTGCACTGAGAACTCTAGTAATGGCCATGCCATATGTACACCCAGGGGTGCCTGTGCCTGGGATGGGACAGACAACTAACCAAGTTTGGTTCATGCAACTATGGCAGCAGGAGCCAGACTCAGCATGGCTGGACATACTTCACCTAACTAGATAAGACCTCTTCTGAGCAAAGGTTTACACAACCTCTCTGTGCCTTGTTTTCCTTAAAACAGATAATTGTGAAATCATAGTGTTCCTGTGAGAATCCTAAATGTAAGGCACTCAGAGGGGCCAAGGGCATGTGAGCACTTGGTAAATACCACTATTGCACAAGATTTTTCTGAAATGGGGTGGGAGAAGGTGGAAGTACAATCTATAGAGTATTGAGGGGGTGTGGGGAAGACCAAAGTATTCTAAAAGCTTGTTATGAAACCTATGAGTTCCAGGGTTAAAGATCCATAATGTGATCTAAAATTGTAAGAACCCTTACCTACCTCAGAAGATGACTGTGGATGGTATGGAGATTTGCGAGCATTTACTGAACATTTTCAAAATCAACACATTGATTTCATGGCCACAAGAATACAGAAGCTCGCCGGGTGTTGGTGGTGCACGCCTTTAATCCCGGCACATGGGAGGCAGAGGCAGGGGGATCTCTGTGAGTTCGAGGCCAGCCTGGTCTCCAGAGTGAGTGCCAGGGTAGGCTCCACAGAGAAACACTGTCTTGGGGGAAAAAAAAAAAAAAAAGAATACAGAAGCTCAGCCAGTCCGTGGTGGTGCATGCTTTTAATCTCCTCTTTTTGTAAAAAAACATCTTTTTAACTTTTTCAAAGATTAATAAAGGAAAGTCTCAAAGTATTTGTAGATACAGTAACTCTGTGAATACCTTGACTCACAGGTTGAACGGGGACAGTGAGAGCCAAAGAGCATCACACACAGGAGAGGGGTCACAGCAGGAGTGGTCATGGGGACAGGGACATCACACACAGGAGAGGGGTCACAGCAGGAGTGGTCATGGGGAGGGCAGGCAGGGATGGGGGTGGGGAGTGGAGGGTTGTGGCAGGGAGTAGCCAGACTAAAGGGGAAATACTCTCCTCCCTAGATCATTAGTAATGATTATGGACTCTGGAGTTAAAGCCTGTTAGGTTGGCAAGGCAGCCATATAAACAAGCTCCCGGGGAACACTCCCTCCTGCCCCACACCTAAGGCAGAGAAGGGAGTTTGTGAAATCCCCCACAAAACAAACTGGCAGTCTGAGATAGAATATGCTAAGGAGAAAAGGACATTGTGGTAGCCTACAAGCCCTGTCATCAGTTAGGTCAACACACAGCACAGAACTTCCACATTCTTCCGTCCACAGGTATTACTACACTTCATCAACACAAGGAGCCCAGAACTCTCTGCCTCAGGCCACAAGCCACCCGAGGAAACCACAGCCTGAGACTGAAGGTAGAGGAAGCCTGGTCAACGTCTGCAGAGAGAGCCTCTTCCATCTCTACCTCCCTGCTGACAGAACAAGGACTTCTGTGCAGGCCAAGGGGAAATAAAGTTTTACACACAGTCTATGCTTCTAGTACAATCTAAATGTTACAGGTATGGTTTAAAGGTGGAAGGGTGTGGAGGAAGTGCCTCTCATCCGAGAAAGCCTCTCTGGAGCAGGTCTTTGGCTTCCGTGGGTCAAACAGTCATGTCTCACTTAACTACTTATATAAGAGAAAGGCAGTTAAGGAAAAAGGGACCTGCGGAATTGTAATTTAGGATCGCTCTCAGGAGCAAATGCTTACCAAGGCTACAAAGACTGCATAACTCACCTGGAAAACATTTGTCTTGTCTTCAAACAGATTGACAAAATATTTATAGTCAGCATAAGCCCAGAATTTGGAATGGTCATAATCTTTAAATGGTCCAGAGACACTAGACTGGTCACAGTTCCAGGTCAGAAACTCCTCAAGTGTAGCATCCACGTAACTACATGCAGTTTCAAACTGAGGAACTGAAACACAAGGGAATACAACTTGAAATGTTTAACAAGCACATCATTTAAATACTTTTTTTTAAAAGGTAAATATTGACCAACATATTGTTTACCAATATTTAAAAGTGAATTTTGTAATTGTTTATATAAAAATTGACATCATTCACAATAAAATAAAAAGATTGGTTTTGTTCTTAAGATTAATGATGCTGCCAGGCAATGGTGGCGCACGCCTTTAGTCCCAGTACTAGGGAGGCAGAGGTAGGCAGATCTCTGTGAGTTTAAGGCCAGTCTGGTCTACAGAGTGAGTTCTAGGACAGGTTCCAAAGCAATACAGAGAAACCCTGTCTTGAAGAACAACAAACAAACAAACAAAGTAAGTACCACTGGAGAGAGCCTGCAGCATTGGGGTCACTGGGAATTTTTAAGTGTAAAGTGATCCTATGCTCAAAAAGCTTGAGAGTAAAATGAAAATTTAAACTGAAAAAAAAAATTTACGGTGCTAGGCAGTGGGGTGGTGCACACCTGTAATCCCAGCACTTGGAAGGCAGAGGCAGGTGGATCTCTGAGTTTGAGACCAGCCTTGTCTACATAGTGAGTTCCAGGACAGCTAAGGCTACACAGAGAAACTGTCTCAAAAAACCAAAAACCAAACCAAATAAATAAATAAATAAATAAATGGCAGGCAGGCAATAAATGGCTTTTGAAAAATTTCTACTTTGCACTTCATGTTTACAAACAGAGCTTAGAGTCATTAGCTGGACAATATCAATTAAATGTTGGCTCACTCGTTTATTAACTCAAGTTGCTTCAGAATCATTTACTAAGCACATAATTTTTGATAAGCATGGTGCTTAGATTTATAGGGACACAATAGAAACAGATAACGGTCTTGAGCTTAGAATACAATTTGATAAAGCCAAATATGTTTGTAATGCTTGCACTGAAGAGGGTGAGGTGTGAAGACACTGAGTTCAAGGCCAGCCTAGGCTAAGGAGCAGGACCCTCTGCTATGGCTTCAATGTGAAATGTCCCCTACAGGTGAAAGTCTTCGAATTCTTTGTCCCCAGTGGGTGAACTGCTTATGAGAGCAATAGAAAACAAACTCGAACACTGTTTTAGAAGACGTTATTGTGGTGGTCTGGATAAAAATGGCCCCCATATGCCCATAGGGAGTGGCACTATTTGGAGGCATGGCCTTGTTAGGAGTAGGTGTGGCCTTGTTGGAGGAAGTGTGTCACTGGGGGTGGGCTCTGAGGTTTCAGAAGTTCAAGCCAGGCCTAGCGGCTCCTCATCTCTTCCTGCTGCCTGCTGATCCAGAGGTAGAACTCTCAGCTATTGCTCCAGCACCATGTTTGCCTGGGTGCCACCAAGCTTCCTGTCATGATAATAATGGACTGAACCTCTGAACTACAAGCCAGCCACAATTAAATGCCTTCCTTTATAAGAGCTGCCATGGTCATGGTGTCTCTTCACAGAATAGACACCTAACTATGACAATTGTGAAACCTTTTGGACATGGGGTCTAGTGGCAGATGTATGGCTAAAAGGACAAGGCTAGAAGATTACACATCCAGCCTCGTTCCAGTCTAAGTTGTCTGCTTCATGATTCACTGATAAATAATAAGCCATGTGGTAAGCACCTACCACCGCAGACTAAGCCAATCCAGCTGCTATGCTTCTCCCATCAAAAAGCGCTCCACCCTTCTCCTGCTTTTTTTGAAACATGGTTTCTACATCGCCCTGGCTGTCCTAAAGGTATGTGCCTTTATGCCCAGCCGCAGTGTACCCCTTTAAACCAGGAGCCAAAATCAAGTTCTGCTCCCTTAAGCTCTGTAGTCAAGTACTTCATCACAGCAGGGTGAGAATAATACATCCAATCTCAAAAACTAAAAGCAAACCCAGTCTAGACAAAGATGAAGCTTTAACTAGACTGACATAGGACCTGCAGACCCATGTAATTAAGTACAGAACACTGTGCCACAGACACTTTGAAAAAGAAAAGCAGCACAGCTGACAGTAACCAGTGGTGCCCTGAGGGAAAGTCTACAATCTGTGCAGGCTGGCTTGTTCTTGAGTCTGATGCCAAGAAGGAAGAAAATCTTCTGCAAGTTGAGGAGTGTTTTAGATGAACATGGGGAAATTAATAGTTAAGAAGTCTAATCATGAGCTCCTTTGCAAAGTATGAAACCCTTTCAGGATGGGGGGGGGTGGCAGCACAGAGCCTGACACACAGAACGTGTTCAGTAAATGTCAGGCACTATTATTATTCCTTTCTACTCCGTCCACTGTTGACCTGGAACCTTTTCAAATTTAAAGGAGTCAACAGAGGGATGGATAGTCAAGCTTTTCTTTCAAAAGCTTCTATCTTTTCCCTCCTTCCTCACCCAATCATCTTTTGTCCTTTCTCTTACTTTTCTTGACACTACCAAACCACAGAGACGGGCCAGAGGCAGGACGATGTCATCTAATCCCTCTACCTCATCAACTTGTTACCTTTGAGAAACGGGAAAACTTTAGCAGGCCATGTTGATCTAAAAGGCAAAAATCTATATACTTAAAAGCATTTCGATTTTGAGAACTTTTGAAGCATTTTAGGACTAGTGTCTGGCAAGCAGTAAACCACTGATAATACAAACTCTTAATAATAGTGGCATCCTCAAGAATTTATCATAAAACCAAGAGTAAATAGAATTAATTTTAACAAAAATGTATGTGGCAAGACAGTTTTCATGATTCTGAGAAGGGAGCCATTTCTGATCCTGACAGCAAACTCTATGGAAAGTGCATGAGTGTTCCCATCACAGAATTCAACCCAACTGACTAATGGGATGCTAAAGCCCTTGACTGAGCAACTTGGCCTTGGGATGGAATGAACAGGACACTTCAGTGGTGGCATTTACCACCAGCAAGTCTGCATTGCAGTCTTCAAAACTTGGCCTCATTATTGGACTTCACTTCCTGTCACAGCAAATACTGCATGTTAAAAATGAAAAGCTAAAAATGTAAAAACTACATTTGAGAAATGTTACTGCCAGGGGAAAATGAAGATGAATAGAATGAATGGAAATGACAGATCTTTTCATTTACATAATAATTTCAAAATAGAATTTTTTTTTTGCTCTGTACGAGGAGCAGCAACACTGAGTGGTGTTCTGAGTTGATTGGTAACAGTCCCCTCTGGTAGCACGCTTGCTTTCCTTGGTTTGCTTTATGCAGTGGGATTATTCCTTTCTAACTTCATCATTCTGTTCTTTTCTTTAATGTGGAAGCAGCCAAGACAGTTCCACCCCCAGCCACTTACTGCCAAGTATTGGACAAGAAACAGTTGCCTTAGTCCAAGATTTCACAGAAAAATACAAAGTGAGCTTGCTTTTAAGTCTAAAACAAAGGATTTTAAGGGTATACATTTGCCCAGCAGGAAAGCAGCTATTCTTCCATTTTAGGATTTCATCACTTTACAAACTACAAAGAATGAGTGGACAGTGACCCTGCATTGGGCTTCTGGACACTCTGCTCCTTTCCACTGATGTTTGGCACTGTTTCTAAAATGGTTGGTAACTGTTGCCGGCTGAAGTACAGTGCAACCAGTGAGGCCTCATCTCCACAAATGAATCTGACTAAAAAGGGTTTAAAGACCTACATGCTATTTACCAGCTGCGTCCTAAAATAAACTCAGGATGGCACTGTGTTTTTGTTTTTGAGACAGAGTTTCACTGTGTAGGCCAGGCTGGCCGCCAATTCAGAGATCAGGTTACCTCCGCCTCCCAAATGCTGGGAGCAAAGGTGTGTGCTAGCATGCCTGGCTTAAAAAAATAAAAAAATAAATAAAAAAAATAAAAATAAAAAAGAGATAAAAAAAATGCTGTAATTAGATAATCATAATATATTAAACATTTCAAAGAGCTAGTAGAAAGGATTCTGGACAATTTCACCACAAAGAACTGACAGACATTCAGAGTGATAAATATGCCCACCTAATTTAAACATTAGCAATGTCTACATAATTTGAGCATAACACTCCATTAAACTCTATGTAAAACTTTTATGGTTTCTGGGTATTAGTTAAAAATAAAAATAGTGCCAATTACTTTTAAAAACCAGTTACTAATACTACTGTTTCAAGCATCCCAGAAAAAATATTCTAAACAAGACCTAAGACAGATATAAGAAATAACATCTATACAAAAGAAACAAAAGTATAATTATTTATAAAATTATATGCCTGTCTTTCTGTAAGACCTACAGGAACAAACACCTACCTACACTAAAAAGCAGTGGATACAAAGTCAACATAGAGAAATAAATAGCTTTTATCTATGTACCAACCAAAAAAACCATAAATTAGACTAGTTAGAGACCCTGTCTCAACTCCCCCATTATATACATATTGACTATATATAGTGGGTAAAAATATTTTCTTCACACTAGCTGTAATGAATGGTAACTACAAACTTTTCTTGCTGACAGACTTGGTAAAGATAACATGTTTTTTTTTTTTGTAGAAAGATACAATTTTACAACAATGTAAACAAAGAGGCTGGGCAGTGGTGGCCACACCTTTAATCCCAGTACTCAGGAGTCAGAGGCAGGAGGATCTATGTCAGTTTGAGGCCATCTTAGTTAGCCAGGGCTAAACAAAAAACCCTGCCTCAAAACAACAAAATGCAAAAAAGAAAAAATAAAGAAATCCATCTGGGGTGTGTATGTATGTGTCTATCTGTCGGTCTGTTGGTCTGTCGGTCTGTCTGTGTGGTGTCTGCACATGACTGTATTTCTACATGATCCCACAGAAATCTTGGCAACTCACAGAAATGTATTTGCCTCTGTCTCACATCAGAAAGGTTTCTTTAAGGTGAACATTCTATGTAACTACAGAGTCCATTTGAATGAACAAAATTCAAAAAGACATTGAAGAAGAAAAGACTAATGGAAGATCAGAGTAGACTAGTGGTTACCAGAAGCTGGGGAGAGCAGGGAGGACCAACAGACAGGGAAAGGATGGTCACGGAAGTAAG